GGAAAACAGAGAAAACCTATCATCAAACAGCCAAAAGACACTGAACATGTAGGTGCCTACAGAAGAGAAGACAGCTCTTCAGAAACAATCACTTAAGGAAGCAGAATCTGATATATGGTAAAAAAAAAAAAAAAAAAAAAAAAAAAAAAAAAAATATTTAATTGTAGTAAACTATTTCTATATAGAAATCTATTTCTCTCTATTATCTAGTATTCCTGAAGTCCCAAATTTTGTAAACCAATGCTGGCTTTGGAGTTGGATTTGGCTTTCCTTCTCTAAATTCAAGCATGTTGTTAAGATTAAATTCATGGTTTCTGCCTTAAATCAAGAAGCCAATTGGTGTAAGGCAGAAGAAACAAAATCTGGGGACTCATATCTTATGCAATTTTCTCTCTGAAATCCTAATTTTCTCACATACTTTTAATGCTTATTGTTGTCTTTCCCTAATGCATACCTTAAAACTTGAAAATTTTACTTTAATATTGATGTGTAACTTTTCCACAAGGAATAATAACGATTCCTAACAGCAGTCTTTGAACTTTCCGGAAAGAAGATGGGGCCCCACATCATCATTTCCACTTGACTCAACCTGATGCATCGGAACTACAAACATCACCCTAAAACCGGTTTGAGACTGTTTTGCTCGAGACAACTCATGACTAGCTAGCTGTAATGGTGCACCTTTTTATTACACCCTGGCCAGTTTCAAATAGAACTATAGTCAAGAATTTTCTGCCACACAGTGCCTAACTACATATGTCACAGCCAGTTCTGTTGAGAAATTTGGTTGCTAAAAATTTTCTTCCTACAGGATCCATTGGAGCAATCATCGTCCCATTTCAGCAGGAAGTAATCTTAATATGACTACGCCCCCTTTCCCTACCCTTGGAATTTTGGGATAATAGTCATCGTCTTTGGGTTGGTTTTAGTTATTTGGGATTGGGTGATGCTTACACTCGGGTTTATCTTTTAGACAGGAATAGGGAATGGTGGGTAAAGGTATGGTTTAGAGGGGATATAAGTAGATTAGCCTGTTTCCTTGAGAATTTGAGTTTGAATGAGATAGTATTTTACAGCTTACATTGTTATGCATTCCTATGTGGTAAGCTATGTAAAATTAAGTTTATATTTTGTTATATTGTGTTAAATGTTTCCACTTATAATATTTATGCACATTATTTTTTACCATATTCTATGTATGTATACTTTTCTTGTGTTCAAGACATTTTGTATATTGATACAATTTGGGATATTTATCTTGCTGCCCTTTATAGTTCTACCTCTTGTCTTGACACTTATACTCTACCTCTATTTTAGGGATTTACATGTAGGTATATGTAAATAGTTATATTGTTTAAGTATTTGTTCCTGCTTTACTCAGGAAAGTTTTAATCAGTCTTTTTAGCTAAGTTCCCGAGTATTATAGATTATCTTCACTCACATTTCCTGTACCTATGAGATTAGTCAGATATAGATGCTTAATCTTCAATCCTTCATAGACATGCAGAACATGGCATTTAAATGTTTTAATATTAGTACTCCATTGACATGAGACACTGTTGCTCCTGACAGCACCGTGCATTTTCCCGAAAATATGTTGGACACTGTTGTTGCTCCTGCTGGAGTTCAATCTCGCCTCAGCTAATGGCCTGTTGGGCATAGAATTGCCCCCACCTTGACCACTGATTTGGACATGCAGTCCTATGTGCTTGCAGGAGACAAATATAGAAGACTGCTTGACCTTGCCAAGTCAGGGTAAGACAGCCATTCTATTTCCCTGCTGTTGTTGTGGTCTGTCAAGTTCTCTTGGCATTAGCCAAATCTGGGTGTACCAACGTCGCTGTGAGACCTAGGGTGACTGTTCAGGTGGCTTGCTGTTTCTGTCCTTGCTGCACCGTTTTGGAAGTTGTCCATCCGCATTTCCTGTCTACTCTAGTATTGTTATTTTCCTTCTCAGGTCTTGATGAGGTTGAAGATTAAACTATCACAACTATTATTCTCTCTTCCTAGTTAGATATATTAGGTACTAGACTTACGTTTTCCAGCTTAGGACAACTCTATTGTAAACTCCATTATGCCCTCACCCTAGGACTAGATATGTAGGTCATTTTGTTCTCGATTTTCCTTTTCTTAGAGCACACTTGTTATTCACTGTTTTGTATATAGTTTTGTATTAAGCCTAAATCTTTTCTTTAGACTAAAAGGGGAATTGTAGTGAGGTAGTCCTTCTGTAGCACTGACCACGCCCATTGGGGGGTGGAGCGATGGGCGGAGGTGACCTGAGGAAGGAGGTCGGAGGGGGCCAGGAAGGCGCTCTCTTTCTGGCGTGACTCGGACAGGAGAGGATCGGGTTGAATTTCCTGGTGTTCATCTGTCTAGGTTGTAAGTTATTTCTCCCTGAATAAACATCTATTCGGCCTATTTGTTTATCCTGACCCTTATTTACCGCAATATCTCTACAGTACTTTAACCAGAGATCTAAATTGACTTCAAGAAAAAGAGGTCTTGGTCACTTAGGAGTTTGATCTGCTCAAGTGTCTTCATCATGTGTCAACACTCTTTCCTACTATGAATAACTTTCTTTTCTTGGAGGGCTTTCTCCTGCCTCCTCCCCAAGCACTACAGCCACTCCAAGCTCCTCCATTTGCCCACCCACCGTGGCCTCAAAGGCACCTGTCCCAGCCACACACTAATCCTCCCACAAACTGGCTTCTGTCTGTGAATATCCAAATCTATCCCACTTCCCCTGGCAAATTCTTAACCATGGAATCAGCATTGATGTGCAAGGGTAAACCTCTCAGAGGGGGAAAAAAATTTTTTTAATAAGATTTTTATTTATTTATTATGCATACAATTTTCTGTCTGCATGTTTGCCTGCATACCAGAAGAGACCATCAGATATCATTATAGATGGTTGTGGGTCACCATGTAGTTACTGGGAACTGAAGTCAGGACCCCTGGAAGAACAGTCAATGCTCTTTATCCCTGAGCCACCTCTCCAGCCCTCTCAGAGGAATTTCTAAATCCATAGCAAAGTTAGCATGCATCAAGTTGTGATCAAATCCATCAAGGCATTATTCATAAACACAAGAAGTTATCTTTCTCACTGTTGAAAACACCAGCCATGGGCTAGGTGTACAGCTTGATGGTAGAACACCTTAGATACTGAAGGCCCTGAGTTTAATCCAAAGACCCACCAAATAAAAACAGCAAGAATGAGTCAGGCGTGGTAGCTTACACCTTTAATGCCAGTCCTGGAGGAGGCATGGGAAGGATAAGATCTCTGTGAGTTCAAGACCAGCCTAGTCTACAAAGTGAGTTTCAGGATAGCCAAGACTGGTACACAGAGAAACCCTGTCTCAAATAACTAAAATCAAACCAAACCAAAATAAGAACAACTTCATGTTTATAAAATTATCCGGTATTTCCTTTATGGTTTTAATTTGAGATTCTACCATACCCTCAACCATTTTCTGGGACATTCTCCGCCCTGAAGTGACAGCAGTTGGCTGCAAACAACATGTCCACTAGTGTTTTATGTGACGTAAACAGATCAACCCAGAGGCAACCCTGGTTAAGGAATTATGCATGTGGGCCCTGTCCCTGCAGTGGAACTGCCCTGGCCATCCAGACTTTTGCTTGGACATTGTGTACGAAAAACCCACAAACAGTTTAGAGATTTTTGCTGTCACACCAAGGACTGATTTCATCTGCAGGTTGCCATTAATGTTGCATGACCCTGATATTCCTAATTTGTGTGAAGCTGTCATTTAATCAAGGCTTTCCTCCTCCAAGTTGGCCACAGTTAAGGTATCTACCTGCCAAGCCAGTTAGATGGCTCAGCAGATAAAGGTGTCTGACACACACACACACACACACACACACACACACACACACACACACACACACACACCCTGCATCTGGTTCCTTCAAGGTTTTCTCTGAAACATTTCTCTCCACTACTTTTCTGAGCATACCCAGGAAAAGACAACAAACAGAAAGACCTAAGCAGCTGGTAACAGGACACTAAACATCTTTTAAAATATCAAAATTTGAGGTGTAATTCCAATTAGCTCCACCAATTTTTTTTTTTGACCCAATCTTTGTAAATTGCAGATTACCCAGCTGCATAACAGGAGATAATTTTGTAGTATGAGACAGTATAATGCTTGTGTTGACAAAGCAGCTCACTGAAAAAGAGAGCCTAACCTAAGAAGAGAGCCTGGGGCCAACATCACAAATGCAAGCAAACAAACCTATCAAAGCAGGAGCAGTTGAGAGCGCTTGCTGCATTGCTGCTCAATCATGAGGATCTGAGTTCAAATCCCAGCACTAAAGTAACATACAGTAATAAGCAAAATGCCTGTAGCTCTATATAACATCTCGGCCTCAGTGTATACTACAAAGCTATACTCACATGCTCATACACTCACAGAGAAATGGTCATATGTCTTTAGAGGGGGAAGGGGTATCTGGAGAAATGTCTCAGCAAATAAGGGTGCTTCCACCAAGGCTGATAACCTGAAACCCACAAGGTAGAAAGAGAGAAACAATTCCTAAAAGCCTCTCTCTCTCTCTCTCTCTCTCTCTCTCTCCACACACACACACTCTCACACACTGACTCTACACTGGAACTGACCCCAGTAAAATGACTTTACAACTCTCTAACTGGATCATGAATTAATAAAAGCAGTCGTGGGAACATTATTCACTAACCTTAAAGGCTAAAAAGATACCGACTTTTTCATAGTAATCAGTCAAAAAAAAAAAAGCTAATAAAAAATTTTTAATGTTCTAGATTCACAATAAAGCTGGGTGAACAGAAACTCACACATGCTCCCCAGAAACATGAGCAAAAGTCTCCCTGAGGTGAACACCTTTCAAAAAGCAAACAAAACACAACCCCCCTGGAAACAAACCAAGCTGGTATCTTAGGAAAGACTGGTTTCAAAGCAGCACAGCTGAGCACACTGACGACCTTCAGACCCCGTGACACTTACCATGTAACACCCAATAAGGAAGGCAGCATTTGCTTGTTTTCTCTGATCAGAGCCGGTAAAATGGATTATTTTCTTCCTCAGCATCGTAATCGACTGCATCAAGACAAACTGTTGTTAGTCTTTTCTTGACCACTTCGAATTTCCTAAAATTCTACTTTGTGACAAATTCTACGTCTCACACGCATACCTCCTGGTCATTTCAGAAAGCTATGGATATATATAGAGTCAAGAACTCTTTAACACTAAGAACAAATACTGATGAATCCTGAGTCTGTGGGGACTCAAGTTCTCCCTGGAGGCTACTGTCACTCAACAGAGACATAAGACTGTAGCATTATACACAACTAGTGACATAGGAAGAAGCTGAATAAATGTCCCAGCATGGGGGGGAAAATCATCAACAAAGCAGGGCTTCCTAAAACAGGAGATGCAACAAGCTGGAAAGTCAGAGTCTCACTAATAACACTGGCTGGCCTGAGCTCATTATGTAGAGCAGGCTGGCCCTGAAGTCAAAGCAACCCACCAGCCTTTATCTCCTAAATGCTATGATTAAAGGCATTAACCGACAACCCTGATCTATCTGCTTTTTCTTTAATCCTGGGCTGGAGAGATGGTTCAGGGATTAAGAGCCCTTGCTGCTTTTGAAGATGGCCTGGGTTTGTGTCCCAGCACCCACATGGCAGCTCATGTCCATCTGTAACTCCAGTTCCAGGGGAGCTGATGCACTCCTCCGATAATCTGAAAGCACTCCAAATACACTCATGGAAAATACTCATACACATAAATAAAATAAAAATATCTTTTTGAAAAACAAAAAAATTAATCTCTAGCCCTAAAGCCAGTAAGTTAAAAAAGGACATACAGAACAAAGACAATCCAATCCACAAGCCAGCAGCTGAAAGGCGTTTTCCTAATTTATGAAAATTAAGTGTACACTGGGGATGTGTGTACGTTTCTCCATGCATGTTAACATGCATTTTTAACAGGAAGCTAGAAAGAAAAGGAAGCCATCACCCAAGCAGGTACCCAGTGGTGCTTCACTGATGTGAAATGCACCAAGGGGGGAACAGAGCGTGCTCAGCTGCATTTGAAAACACTGCTTGTCTGCATGTTCCAGTCAGTGTCTCTATTGTCAATGTGTACTACTTTCCCTTAGGCTTTATATGAACTAAGGGGACCTAAATCGATTAAAAACCAAACCAGATCCTAGCCAGCCATGGGCGGCACAGGCACCCTCTTCTTCCAGGACACTCTGAATCGCACTAGTTAAACGGGCAGCCAGGTTTCAGACAGGCTGGTAACTTTGCAGTGCTTCTAGAAAGGAATGCATTCATTTCCCGTGGGCACAGGAAGGAGTAAGTCTCCAGCAGACTAGGCATGAAGGTGCAGCCACCGGTGCACACATGCATAGATTTACTCTTTCAAAACTAAAGCAAAGGAACACTAGTGGAGAGGGGAGAATTATATTATGAGTGGAAAGGGGGAGAGAGACAGAAGGCCACAGAGGTTTGCTTTGCTACTTAAGAGAGCATGGGAATAAGTGTTCTCATGTCTAAATGTGTAGTGAATACAGCTGCCGCTCAGGAGGGGAAAATATCTCCCTTACTCATAAACTTGTAATGATGTTAAGCAAAAATAAATGCTATTTGTTTTGCATAGTTCCTGGTAGGTTATCCACTGATAAAGTTTTTTGTTTAATTCCTGCTAACAAATTCAGCATTTTCTACTTGACAATTTATAATGACTAGGTTTTGTTTTGTTTTGTTTTGTTTTTTTTTTTTTTTTTTTTAAACAGTTTGAGACATGGTCGCTGTCCTGAAACTCACTACATAGATCAGACTGGTCACAAACTCGCAGAGATCTTGTGCCTCCCAAGTGCAGAGATAAAAGGCGGCATGTGTCAATATGCCCACCCCTTAAGTGTCTGATCAGTAATTCAGAGTTTTCAAATAAAGGAATGGGATTTGTGTTCACACTGTGTACTACTCTCGATGAGGCAGCCTCTCGGACGCGCAAAAAATGATCCTCGGTTCTCTTACTGCCCAATCACATTCGAAAAGGGTCCAACCTGCAACTCATGAAACATAGCTTGGGTTCCCAGCTCAGAGAGAGCAAAGCAGAGTCTGATTTCCTCACCATTCATCAGTGCTCTTCTTTGAAAGGGAGGCAGGAGGAACAATGGCCAAAGCAAAGGAAGCATTTCTCTTGTCTGGCTTCAGTTCCCCATGAGGTCAGACAAGCAGACACCTGGTCGACTAACTGCCTCTGGCTCTGAGCATCAACCCAAACCAGAATCAAATAACCTGAACATAGCCCATTCCATTAAAACTAGGAAACAGGCTGCATGTGCTGGCATATCCACGAGGGGATTCACACACTTCTAGGCCAGGCTGGGTTACACATAAGTTTGTCTCAAAGCCCAGAAAAACCTCTAGAAGGAAGAAGAAGAAAAAAGAAAAAAAAAGAAAAAAGAAAAACACCCAACAACTGTATGCAGCATGAGTTCGGAAAAAATTGTTTTATTAATATACGGGTGTTTTTGCCTGCATACCTATGTATGTGTACTATGTGTTTGCCTGGCGCACACAGGCCAGGGAAGAGGATGTCATATCCTCTAGAACCCCTGTGGCAGGCAGTTATGAGTCATCACCATGTGGATCTCTAACAGAGCATCCAGGGCTCTTGACTGCTGAACCATTTCTCCAGACTCAGAAAAATAATAAAGTATATATTCTAAATACTACTTACTACAATGATTAAGTAACAAGACCCTAGCCCCACCCCACCCCTTTTTTTTTTTTTTTTTTTATGAAAGATAGACTCATCTCTCAGTCAGGCTATATATAGCCTCATATAGTCACAGTATACCAAGGAGAGTACCTTTAAAACATTTGGTATGTTTTCAAGACACACCAGTAGGAAGCAAACTAGCTTCTTGGTATATACTTTTTTAAAGATCTTTCTGTCTAGCACAGGCTTGCCTTGAAGTTGGGACGTCATCCTGAATGTACCAACACCAGCACACCTGGTCTGAAACTGTTGTTTTGTAAGAGGAAGTACTCTTTCAAATTCTATTTTCTAACACTGCTGCTTTACTGTAAAATGTTGCTGAGTGATCATTGCATGAACTTAAAAGATTTACCTTGAGCTTCTTATTTATCTTGCAACAATATCTGTAAACCATTGCCAGGTTGAGCGGTCCAAAATCCGCGTAGAAACTTTAAAAAAATGAATAGAAACAAGTATGAATTCGCTGTTCTGAATGTAAATGCTCTTAAATATCAAATTATGGCAAGAAGGCATCCACCAACCCAAATTAACAAGGGCCATACAATTCTAATGTCCTATCCTACTAATACTAATAGAAGGAATATTCTGGTAATCAATACCTATTTAAACAGACAAGTGGGATAAAGCTGTACCTCATTAGTGGAGAGAGCTCAGCCAGCATGTACCAGGCTTTTGCTGCCCTCCCCCAACACACACACCCCAGACTAAATCTAACCTCAATTAAGAAAAAATTTCCCGGTAGCAAAACCAGATTCTTACATGTTTGTATTTGACACGGCTCTTAAGTGCAAACTCTTACAATATCAAATCTCAGTATTTAAACAGAGGTTCTCTCTACCCTCAAAGGTCTATTTCATTACCAACAATTTGCAACAGCACCCAGCTTCAAGTGATCATCAGGTACATGATTTTCCAAGGGCTATGTCATCTCTACTCATACCAAGAGACTCTTCACAACGGTTTAAAAGTTTCGGTCTTAAGAGGCAATACTTACTTCTCATACTCAAGTTCATTATCTATGCTGAAATAATGTTCGTTTGACGCACTCTTTGGTCTGCTGAAGAGAATGGCAAAACAAAGGCGATCTGAAATGGAAAAATTGCAATGTTCCTTCCTTCAAGCTATTAAAAAAGTGTCCCAAGTCAAGACCCAATTCTTTTCCAATGAAATCAAAGATGGAATTTTTTTTTCTCCTATCAATTGTGAGTCCATGCCCACCCCCATGATGGGAAAGGTGACAATGTATAAATTGACTTTGTGTCCGTGTGCACATGCACCCCCTCCACACACACACACACACACAATGTTTCAGATGGATGGGGAAAGGTGGCAATATATAATTTCAAAACAGTCCTTTTTTTGGTGAATAACAACAAATAAGCAAAAAGTTTACAGAAGAAATTTGCCTTAATCTGTTAAGTTTCTAGAGTGGTGACATTTCATTCAGTGATGCTGTTTTGACATCGGAAGCAGACTAAGAAATCTCAGGAAACACAGCATGCATCTGATGGCTAGCCTGCAGCCATGCATCAAGTTTATGAGGACATCCTGAAAAGACATACAGCAGGAAACAATCCTTTTAAATAAAACAAAGAATGTTTTCAATATTGCTGATTACAGCCATGCAACACAAGAAAGTGTGTTTACCCAATTCTTTTCGTAGATGTGCTTTGAGTTTCTTACAAATTACTGTTAAAACCAAAGCAATGGGAGGCCAGGCTGGAATGTGATCTGTTGCATGAATGCACTCAAGAGTACTAGAGTTTAGCAAGAAGGGCAGTAATATTCAAAGGTTTCACTTACTCCCAACCCCCAGAACACAGCGTATCTAATAGTAATTAGATACCTACACTCCAAACATCGTAAAAATCAAGGACAGCCTTTGAGCATATATATTTTCAGACCAACTTGTAAGGAATAAGAAACAACACAAGCCGGTATATCCTTTTCCCCAAATGGTAATTTAAACTTTTCTATCTGTTGCCTCCACTTTTACAACCGCTGCACATGTGTCCTAGTAAATGCAACTACAAACTTCTAGCATCCACATTCAAACTGGTGACAGGACCACAGTCCTTTCCCAACCACAAATGACCTTTGATCCACAGTGCTCAGTGCCTGGGCATTTCACGGAGCTTCCAAGTGTGGGTGGAGAGGGTATAGGGCACAAAGGTCACAAGCACACTAAGGTGTCAGTTTTCCCCCAAAGCCACTAGCCCCAGAGGAGAGGTCAGGTGGGATCCTGGGGCAGCAGACTGCTCCTCCAGCCAGCAGGAGCCCTACCCTACCCTGAGCACTCACCTCGGATCACCTCGGCCACCCGAGGGGTCCCCGCGCCCTCCCGGCTCATGGCTCCAAAGCATCTGGAAGGCAGGGCAAAAGAAGGACCAGGCGGATCTGGGGATGAGCGGCCCGGGAAGAAAAATGCAAGGGCGACCACACCCCCGAAGTTTAAAAAACAGTGAAGTTTAAAAGGCCTCGCCCATGCATGGGCACGGAGACGCCCTGGCGGGTGACAAGCAGCAGACTGGGAGCCAACCCCGGAAGTCCAAACTCTGGGACGTTCTCGGGGTGGCCACGGGCCAGCGTCCTGCAAAAGAGGCCAGGCCCACAGGCAATCGTGACGAGGGGTCAGATGCCCAGCAAAAAAGAGACCTGGCCCACGAGCACGCGCAACTAGGGCCAGCTGTCCGGCAAAGAGACCAGACATACAGGCACACAAGAGCCAGGGGCCAGCTGTCTTGCAAAAGGGGCGACTCAGCTAGCTCGGTACACAGGGCCAGCTCAAAACCCGCCAGCCCACACGACCTATGCACGATTGATTAAAGATTTGGGGTCAGGCCGGCACCAGCCTTCGCCACAGGCTCAGGACCGCCCCCCCCCCCGTCCTCCCACCCCGACTCTGCCCGCCACCAGGGGGCACTGCGCCGCCCACACGGCTGAGCGTCACCGCTTGGATCAGACAGGCCTCTGGGCTCTGCAAGAAAACTGTTTTAATGGCAAGTTGAGTTTAGCCTGCTAGGGCATGACAATACCCCCCAGCACTTGGGAGGCAGAGGTGGAAAGAAAAACCAAGAATTCAAATTCAGTCTTATCTAAAGAAAATCCAAGGCCAACCTAAACTGAGAGTCTACCTCAATAAATAGGGGTTAAAATGGCTTAGCAGGTAAAGGCGATTTACCCCTCAAAGATGCAAGCCTGATGACCAGAGGTTAATGCCCGGAACTCACATAATGATGGGAGGTGAGAACCAACTCTGACCTCCCCAACACATTGCATGCACATACACTATTTTTTTTTAAAATCAAAAATAGACGTAACATTTGGGTCATTTGCTATTTTAAAGGTATGGGATTGGTCTTTAAAAGCAAACGTTTGGTATGCTTCTTAGCAACCATTCAACAGTTTCAGCCTATTTTCTTAATCTCAAGAGAACAAATTAAGGTACAGGAGGAGTGTGGTCCCACTTTGTTGTACGTCATATGGTGCTAGGTCTGTGAATCTTTTGGATTTCCTCCCAGGTTTTTCCAATGTCAATGCCCTTCCCTTGAAAGAAAAGGGAAAACAGCAAGTCTTTCCTAAAAATGACACATTATTCATAATTCCAAGACCAGCACACAACCTAACGTTGTTGTAGAATTTCACATAGATAAGATTGGAACACACATGCTCGAACAGAGGTGCTTGACCAACAGTGGGGTGGATTCCTTGCATACTTGCGTCTGGGGAAGACTTTTCTCAAATCAAAGCACTATCAGAAACACCAACTGGTAAACTGATACACACTTCATCGCGCCTTTGTGCGAGCTCCCCTACCCATGAAACTATCTTACTCACTAGTCCTGCGTGCATGTTTAACACATGGCTTTAATGTGTGCCTTGATGCATGCAAGTACTGACATCTAAAGTAAAAAACCCTGGTCAGCAGTGGACACCTTGAGAGCAGGAGACTGGGTTTGAGACAAAGACAGGTAAGAGAAAAATAAATGTGTGCCTTTTACAGCTTTTGAACTCTGGGTTACATATATTCAAAAGGGCAATATTTTGAAAAACAAACTTGCAGGCTAACAATGTTTATGCAAAGCTAGCGCCCTTATTGAACTGTGAAGCGCTTTATGAGGATGCCTGAAGGGGGGGACTTTCCACACACTGAAACCTGTGTGTGCCTTCTAACTCTCTTTGGAAAGTCCAAGATTTTTTTGTTTGTGTTGTTGTTGTTTTTCCGAGACAAGATGTCTCTGTGTAGCCTTGGCTGTCCTCCAGCTCACAGAGTAGCCTGTCGGGGTTGAAGGTATCCTATGCCACCACTGCCTACCTGCCTAGTGTTGTTTTGCCTGACAACCTGAGTTCAATCCCTGGGATCCACATCTTCAGACTTCCACAAGCACACGCAGGCATGTGCACATGAAGCTGTTTAATTAAAAAGTACTGGGGGCCTGGGACGTACAGAGTGCTCTTCTGGTACAGTTGAAGCCAACAAAAAGTCAGTCCTGGGCTTTTCGTATTTGCTGGTTTCAAAACAGTTATCTTGGTTGCAAGCTTCATCGAGTGAGTGTTCCACTCCCAGCTCCAAAAACCAAACTTAACTAAGAATGTCGTGGGATTAAGTTTACTTACTCCTCTAGGGTGATGGAGGGAGGCGGTAGGAAGGAAGCTTCCTTACTCCTATCAGTCCGAGTGTGCTCAACTCCATAGTATATGCTCAAGGCAGCATGTCCAGCTGATCAATATCTATCTATACAGTCTCAAGGATAAACAAAGCACCAGCCACTCATTTTCTCAATGGCAAATGTGTTTGTACCTCTAGTCAGTTGCCTTTGCTTGTGGCTCCTGTAAAGTTTATGCCAACTAACCAAGAGAGAGGAAACAATGACTATCCTTTAAAGCAATCTTCATTGGGGACATCTGCCAGCATGCCTAATGTGCTCTCAGCTGGAGATGCAGTCAGTGATACATTGCCTGTACACAAAGCCTGAGTCTGATCCCCAGCACCACATAAACCTGGGCATGGTGCCCCACACCTGTAATCTCACCGCCTGAGTTCGAGACCAGCCTGGTCTACACAGTGAGTTCCAGAACAGCCAAGGCTGTTACACAGAAAAGTCCTGTCTCAAAAAACCAGAAGAGTGTCATCAGGAAGAACAGGAGTTCAAGTTCATCCTTGGCTACATGAGTTCGAGGCCAGTTTGGGAGACACAAGACCTTAGTTCCAGGTAAAGGTGTAGTCCAGTGCTGCTTAGCAGCAAAAGGCCCATGACTCCATCACCAACACACATATACACACAGTCTAGCGAGACTTATTATTTTCGGGAGCATGTTGGGACTTAAATCTGGTCACCTATGCAGTCCCCTCCCACCAAGCCCCTGGCCATGAAGTACAAGTTGTGTGGTACATGAGTGACATGGAGTCTGCGGAAAGAGATTGCTCTCTTTTGTACCTGCTTGCTAAGAAAGGTTTGTTTAGTAAGTGATGGCTTTTCAGAACTTTTGATTGAAAATTGGCTTTCACTGTAACCATAGCAAGGGTGCCTGTTATTAAACTACCTCTATTCAAGATTTTTCGGAAATGAGTATATATATATTTAAAAAAAAAAAAAGTCCTAAAAGATGGGCACACTAGTTGGTTTTTTAACAGACATAAATGTATGCTCATCTGGAAAGAGAATCTCTACTGAGAGGTTGCATCCATCGACTGGCATGAACATAGGCTCGTCTGTGGAGGCATTTCCTTGGCTGATGATTGATGCAGAAGGCCCACCTCACCTAGGCAGATGGTCCTCCTTTGTCTAAGAAAGCAGGCCGAGTTAGCCCTAAGAGCAAGCCGCTAAGCAGAGTTCCTCCATGATCTATCTCTGCCTCAGTTCTGCCTCCAGGTTCTGCTCTGCCTTCTCAGTGATAGAGTCTGACCTGGGAGTTTTCAACTAAAATAAATCCTCTTCTCCCCAGGTTGCTTTTGGTCATGGTCTTAATCACAGCAATGAAACTCTCACTATAACACTGACTCAGGTCAGACTGGAGGAGGCCAGGGAAGTGTGGTCAGATTATATCACTAGCATGTCATGCCCAGCAGGGGAGAAGTCACAGA